CAGAGGGGAATCTCTGTGCCTTCTCAACAATCCCACTGGTATTCCACGTGGGTAAAAAGTGTCACCTCATGAAAAACCCTCAAGAGAGGTATGGTTTCTCTGTGTGCTATGGCAACTTAACCCCAAGGATGAATATTCAAGGAAAGAATTTTGCACGGTAAAAAAAACAAACAAACAAACAAACAAACAAAAACCAAAACCAAAAAACCCACCAAACACCATCACCCCCCAAACCCCAACTTTGATTATTTCCAGATAATCTCAGTAGAAGAGCAAGACCTAGGCTGGAATGCCCTGTACACACTGTAGATATTGCTATATTCTTCATGACAATGATTTCAATCTGGAGCCTGTAAATCCATGAGGAGTGGTCCTACAGTACTGAAATTTTCTGGTGGCATCCAGCCTCTCCTGCCAATGTTTTTCTGTCTTACATTTCTTTTTCATTCATTCAGGCTTGGCTATTTCTCTCCTCCTCTTCCTGGTTGAAGAATGAAGTTGTTTCCTTCCACTACTTCATCTGTCTTCTCACACACCAGTAGACTTCTTCCAGGAAAAGGTTTCTGATAAGAAATCAATTTAGATTCCATTCATAGAAGACCACGCAAACTTCAGAGTGAGTCCAGGACGCTAACTGTAACTCTATTTATAGACACTGAACTCAGACTGAACACAAGGTCAATTTCTCTTTCAGGCTGCAATGAACCTCTCAAATCTGCTGAACTTAATGAAAGTTGCAGCAACACTAGAAAAAGAAGGATGTTGTCCATAATTCATAGTCCTGGTAGCTTCTTCCAAATAATTTGCCATACATATGACTTCCAAATGCATTTTTTTTATTTGCAAGGACAACAGGAGTTGTATTATGAGCCAAAGGAGGTAATGCAGATAAATCCTTATAGGTCACACTGAAAATGTAATCTGATATGTATTGCTGAAGACTGGAAAGACACAGCTTCTTTCCTGAAGAACCTTTTCCGAAGTCCTCTCTCATGCACAGCGTTCAGGATCATCAGGAAGATTTGCATTCACAAAGAGTGCAATATCAAGGTAAATAAATATTGTGAGTCTTCTTGTTTATTCTATAACAGTGTAAAAAACTGTCAAAATGGTCAGAAATTGCATTGACGCCTACATTAAAACCCTTCTGCATTAAAAAAGCAGGGGTATCAGGGCCATACAGCAAGCTAGAATAAGATCATTCATCTATAATAATATCAGCAAGGCAAGGGGTATGTTTCCAGTTCTTTCCTTACATGGGTTAATGCAACAGTGTCAGAGACATGTCTGAATGTCTAGAGAAGACACATACAAAGTATGTGGAGCCAAGTTTAGTGCTTTACAATACAACTGTCCTGAAGAAGGGATCACACCTGTTTCACAGCCTTCAGATCTTTACCGTGAAGGCTCAAGACTTCCTTGAAAAACTAACAAACCACATTTCATGCCAAAGTTTAAAAAAGCACACTCCTACAATAAAGGATTTATAGCAAAAGTTACAAATAAGAAAGAGCACCGTTTAACACACAGCTCACTAAATAGTGGTGGCAGTTCGAACATGTTGCAAACAATACGTTTGCATTTTGAGTAGTATTGTTGTGCTTGGTTTCTTAAGCTAAGGGACACTGCATTTTCCTATGTTCCTTTTAGTTATATTGAGATACAGGCTAGTAAAAATGAAAAGGGTTGCGGAGTTCATTGAACTTTTTCCTGGAAACTTAAGAAATAAGTTCGTCATGGAGAGAAATCAGGTTTTAAGTCTTCCACTCTAAGCTAGTATGATTTTTACTTTCACTCCAGTCCAGCAGGGTAGGGACTGAAAGACAGCTTATCACTAGTCTGACATACCATAGAACCAACCACTTCTCTCAGTTGTTACAAATACCACTGCTGTCCTCTTTTTACCAGTGGGAAAACCGAGGTCTGAGGTGAGCTGACCTTGCCTAAGGTTAGAGAGCAGAGTGAAGAAGAGAATCCCACCCCCTCTGCCCAGACTTTTTGATTTCCAATACTTTTCTATTTCTGTGTAGTACTGAAGAAGCAAGGGGCCACTTTCATAGATCTTTCAACTGCTGTTGAAGTGCACGTGGCAAGTGGAAGCGTACTGCCTCAAGCAGATTTCAGAAGCTTCCGATCTCATGGTTCCCACCTACATGTTCAAAAGACACCAAGGCTGTAGTTCTCTAATTAGTTCCTACTGAAGACAGCATGTCCATCCAAAATACAATTTTTTTTTGTTATTTAGTCTTTCTTTGAAGTTGCCGCCTGAAATTTCCAACCATCTGATACTGTTTTAAGTTTGCACCAACAGTGTCTAATGCAGCAAATGGCCAAATTGTTGTATTTTCTTGATTTCTTGATTTGACACAGGCTAAATGTTACGCCAACTAAAGTGTTTAAATTGTTGTTCACATTCAGAGACACAGAGCTAAGCTACAACTCAGCTTCCTTTCCTATAGAGTACTTCATACTTATTCTGACATGTGCAACCACCAAGGAGCCTGGATTACAGCAGACCATAATACTCTATGAACCGTGGTTATAATTAGGCGTCACATCCATTGTAATCCTATGGACGTCATCATGTGTTACCAGCATCTGTTGACAGATCTCATACCAGGCATATCACTGAAATGGCAAGTCTGGAGAGGGCAGCCCACAATAGAAACAATGGCATTTACTTTTGGTTTGTTCCAAGACTGTCTAATAGAAAATATATGCTGCCAACTGCCAGGGCTCCACTGAGATCACTTTTCAATATTATATTACCAGTTAGAACAAAGATCTGTGGCCATGTATCTGCAATCTTCTCATAATAAATAAGGAAATAAAGAAAGCACTTTCTGCAACTGTCTTGGCACCAATTAGAAAAAGAGAGAAACCTTGAAATTTTATAAAGTTTATCAGGCCCTTTATCATGAGAGTATTTATTTTTCATGTAATAATAAATTAAGACTCCTTTCCAAGACAAGGAATGAGGATCTCGCCTCCTGAATTTTATTTAAATGTAGTATCACTTTAATATTAAAACTAAGCCTTGGGAACTGGCAACATAAAGTAGCAAAGCCACCATCTCTCTACTCTATGGAAGTAAAGTCAAGTCTGGTTTAATCTATCAATGTGGAAACCTGGCTTTCTGCTGAAGTGCTGTCTGTTTGAAGGAATGGAAACAAAAACTTTCCTATGGGGTCTTATACTCACTACTCCCTGCTCTTCTGTAAAAGTCCAGAGACTTACTGTAAGCATAAGAAAGCCTACAGAATCCAAATTCTCTTTATTTTTTATCATCTATCTGCATTGTAGGAAAACTGCATTAGAGTGCTGACTATCTAGTAACCTGTTCATTATTTCTTTATTTTGAAAACAGCATTCTCTGAAATGTGGGACAATTGAATCTGAATCAGTTGTAACCACGACCTGTTACAGCTGAGCAGTTTCAAATCACTAAAGCACTTAAGCACTAAGATAATTTCCATTCTCATTATAAAACATAAAAGAATAGTTCACCATCTAAAGAGTGTCAAATTAAAACGAAATGTCAGTGTTGGTGAGTACAACTTAATAATTGGTTAGGAGTTGCAGCAGCTGGTAGATCAAGAAAAGTGAACTTCAGCTTGGCCCAGAACTTCTCCCACTGTACTCGTACAGCAGGATGTGAACAGGTGTGAGTGTAGGAAAATGAATAAAACCAGCTAAAACTGACAGAAGGAGGAAGGCTACAAGTAAAAACTGAGAGGAAAATATTGGCTCTACTGATTTTAATGGAAAAGCAAACCCACTGGCCCCAACGATTCTAGCAGGTCTTACTTTTATAGCTATACTTTTAAAGCATAGCTTTTATAGAAGCTGTGACTGTAACAGCGGGCCAGACTCTGTCATCAGATATAAGTTGGCAACTTCTACTTAAGTTTTTGAAGTGAGCTGCTCACCTGTAGCAAAAAGCATATTCAACTTTATTGTCTAGAGTGCCATTTCTCTTTCTCTCCCCCCCCCTTTTTTTTTCATTCTTGTAACCAGCAGATAACCTTTTAATCCCAGATCTGTCAGCCATGACTTCAACATCACCTTTTGCATTAGGAAGTAACAAATCCTTTATAATATTTCATCTCTCTCTTTTCCATATGCTGCTTAAAACTCAGTGTTCTCAAATTAGATACTGCAAATATTACTGAAGTACCAAACCATTGACAAAGACTGCTGATGAGATTATATACTCTGCCTATGTTCACAAAAAGAGCATGAGCAGTATTTGCTGGCTTAATAGCTTTCTTACACCTAAAAGGCAAGGAGCATTTTCTCTGCAATAGCATATTCCAAGGAGTTTACAAACCCATTTTTTCCCAGACAGTGAATTGGCATGTGGGAACCTAATCATGAGATACAGTTTTCCAAATCTAGCCTGGATATATTTCTAGGCAATATTTTCCTTGTCAGATCATTCAGTCAGAATTAAGAGTAAATTCTAATAAGAGTCAACTCACAAGATCACAATTTCAAAAGTGATTTCTCGGTCTGCTCTCAGAAATATTGCAAACTTTTTTGCACACCAATTTTGAACCATCTCATTCATGTCCCTGTTTATAATTGCAATTTACTGTTTTTGAAAAGCATTCAGGCACACATGTCAATTCACAGTCTGCTTTCTGAAAGGAAGACCCAGGAAGTGAAGCTAAAAATTACTGAAATACTAATATATAAATCTAGAAGTACTGACAGAATATTCCCAGTGCAATAAAAAAGAAACTCCTGACTCTCATGAATTAGTTTCATCTTACATAGGTTTCACTTAAGAATCCAAAAGGTGAATGCTTTATCCTCAAAATACGGCATAGCTAATATATATTATATGCATGCTTTATAGGATGTAAAATATATTCTCTTACAAAATTAGAACCCCTTAATGCACAGCCCTGGCAATTGCAGATGCAGCGTGGCAATAAGAGAGGACATCATTCCACAGAGAAGCACATAGGCAGACACACATTACTTTATTTCCAGACCTTCCTTTGCTGTTTCTCCCATGCTGGGTCCAGGAGCAGGTCCCTGTCCCATTCTTCTTCTTGGGTCATGTACTCATCTTCTTCGTAGTTGTAGGTGTACTGCATGTTTGTTTCTATCTGGTTCATGCTATTCATGCTACCCGGGGATCAGCTTCAGCTGATGTGGCTTCTACTATGTTTAAATATATATATAAATATATATATATATATGTAGTTTAAGCTTAGTTTACTTGCTGATGGGTTGTAGGTAGCAGTGTCTTTTTTCTTTTTTTCTTTTTGCAAGGTGACAGGGAGTGAATATTGATGAGTCTTGCTGAGAGCAGAGGCTGAAACTGCCAGGTAGGTGCTGACCTATGGTGACCTTCCTTCCCTCTCTCTCCTGCCCTCCTTCCCTTTCTCTCTCTGCTGCTGCTGCTGCCGGGGCCGGGGCCCCCGCGGGCGGGGCCGAGCCGGGCAGGGGCCCCGCGCCCGCCGCTGCGCCCTTTCTGCCCGGGGCAGCGAGACGGTCTGCAAGAGGGGAAGGCTGACCGGGGGAACTCACCTCCCGTAAGCGCTCCGGCCCAAAATTACTGCCTGCTCGCCTGTTTGCCGGTCTGTCTTTCCAATTTGATAAAATACCTGTCGTCCTCTTTTTTTTTTTCCTACGTCTCAAGACCCATCTATGATTTGCTAATGTAGTTTGCCATTGTTTATCATGAGCCTGAAGTCTGTGCGGACCCTTGAGTCACTTCACACTTCCCTTTTCAGATTAGGGATCGCAAGAGCCCAGACAAGGACACCCGAGAGATGAAACAATTTGCAGCGGAGATGAGGTCTGCAGTTAAACCAGAAAGTATGGAAGCACAACTTAGAAAAGCAACATATATCTTTTTTGTCCAGGAAACACGCTCAGTTCATCCCAAAAGCAGGCACCAAAAAGCACGTACAAAGGTCTGTGATACCAAGAACTTCATAAATATGTGACAGGAACTATTTACCCGTGCTTTCCACAGGGTAAAATCTGAAAAGATAGCACTGAAATCAAGCATCTTGGCAAGCATGTCCCGTATCTCCCCTACCCTATCATTTCAGTTGCCCTGGTGACAATGTTTCTTCTGGGAATTGGCAATTTTACTATGTTCTTGGTGTAGCCTGTCATTAATGCCTGCACCTATCATCAGCCAAGGTCATCCTCTCTAGCAGTGTCCCCACTGGATACAGTTCGAACCTTACTTAGAAAAAGAAAATGCTCACCAAAGCTAAGCTTTTAGAAGCCATAGAAGACAGAGTCAGATACAAGGCAGAACTACGTTCAGTAAAGGCAACCATAGGTCTCTAAGCCAATGTGAACGAATAACCAGAATAATTAACAGCTAGGCAGCATATGTCCTCCACTTCGTATTGCTAACCAAAGCTCTGCTTTCTGCCAAGTCACCTTCTACCCCATAAGTCTATGCAATTTAGAAGAACACACATACATACACAGCTAATACCTACCCATCAGCTCAAAAAAAACCCCTTCATAAATGCAACACTAAGGTAGCAAACTGGAATTGCAACGGAAGAGGATTGCAACGTGTTTCATGCAAAGAAAGCTGAACTTCCAAAGACTGATGTACATACTCTAAGCTAAACAGTCTAAAACTCAAATACCAAATCTAAGCAGCAAGGTCAGAAAACCACGTGCTTTTCACCTGCTCAATGCAAATATTCTCAAGTTTGCTACATTTTGATCTATATAATGAAGCAAATGTTGATGCATGCTATGCCTAGGCTTTTTTGTTCAAGTGCAGATGAACATTCTCTTAGGATACTCTCAGACCATATCAAATAGCAATTACAAAACAAAATATTTAATGTATGTACACATTATATGTATGCTGGTGTAATTTGTGTCATTTATTTTTATAGCTGGGTAGTCATCTGTGGATTGTGATACATGTCCAATTTCAATCACCTAAATGACTGTTTAAGCCTTTGAAGTCAGTAGAACCATTTCTTCTTATTCACTATACACAGCACAGCAGTTTATACAGGAAAAGCAGGAAGAAGTCAGGAAAGTCCCAGAAGTATGCGTGTAAAGCTGTAATGCTCTGAACCAGAGCTGCCTCCTGTGCAAAGAGCTCTCCTGCACTGACAAGGCCTGTGACCTTTTATGCACTACCTCATTAGAGGTGAGCCATTGCAACCAGCTTCGTGCCTTTCCCCGGCACTGCCTTGCCTGGGGATCTACGGGGATGAAGGCAGACGGTACCACACCGCTCCCCACCGCGCAGTGTAGGTGAGCCTTACAGGCACGGATGGCTTCATACAGGGAGGTACTAGTTAAAAGCCACCTTTTATTTGTTGATCCTCATCCTATAACACAGGCCAGAGTGGCTGTGTCGTGAAATAAAAACTGAGGCATTACGATGACAAAGAGTATCTGATCACACCACGGATTAGGACTGGAGTCAGATCCTTGCGTAGACTTCTGGAAATCAACGAAAAACCTACCCAGATTTTCTAGAATTCTGAAAGAAGGTTATTAAGTTTTTTCATAAAATAACTGGATTTGCTCAAAACATAGCTAGCCACTGCTGCAAAGGTATTGCTCATTTTTTCATGTTTACTTGGTACATAGGTAAACTTAGTACTTTCATAACAAAACAAATAAAACAAAAATGTCATTATTGTTCTAAGGAACCAACAGCTAGAACCTTAGTATCTCTCAGCTAATCTGAGAGATCAAAAAAACTTAAGTTAATTCCAAATAGGGATAAACACACATTTTTATATAAGGGGCAAGTATTTCAAAATCCACTTTGGGTAGGTTATATTAGTTCAGTTTGGATAAAAAAAATATTTCAGAATGAAAAGTCTAACTTTTTAATTCCGAAAATGTCAGAAGAGGGGGCTTCAACTTCATCAGTGTGCATTTTCAGAGTTGAGCTTTTTACCTGTGAAACAGGAAGCTAAATGGAATATCCCCATTTTAAAAAAACTGGCTATCTTGATGGAATCTGACCTGTTCTACGTTCTCTAAATAACTGCTTACTGCCCCTTAATCAGACAGCATGAGTAGGCAGGGAAGATATTTATAGATGGAGCTTTAGGAGGAGTATCTGGTATTTTGTTTACTACTTTAATTTAATTTTATAAACGAAGCGTGCGGATGGTAATGAGAAGCATATGAATGGAGGTCCGTAGTGGAAAGAGAGCCAAAATGGAACTCTGACGCCAAACTTGAAGTGGGAAGGGAGCTGCCTCTTCCAGCTCACCTAAAGAAAAGGAAAGCTGTGCCCAGCAGAGTAGTATGAATAAAGCAGTGTGCTTCAGTTAGCTTATTCCCACATCAGAGGTAGGTTAGGTCTATCCCCACTAAAGCTGACAGAGTTACGCAGCTATAAACTATGCGTGCTTAAGGAGAAAGAAAATCAAATCAAACCAGAAATAAGCAAGCTGAGCAGGAAAGGAAGGACAGAAGTCCCAAGTAGAGAGGGGAAGAAACACAGTGAACCATACAGATACGGAATTTTAAGCCAACATGGCAAAATACCCGAGAGCCAGCAGGTATATTTGAGGTAGAAATTACATAGATTGCTTACAACATGGTAAGACAAAAAGAATACTCATGATTGCCAAACAGATTAGAAGAAATAAGGTGGCACAGGGAGATCAGAAATGGAGATGGCAGAGCTGAATCGTCAACTATTTTTATCTTTTATTTGGCAAAAGGTGTGCCGTTGTATTTCACACTAACATAAATGCTAGTAAGGGTCGACCCAGGAGAACACTGTGGCAACAAGGTATCATTTCCCATGCACAGAACTTTCCTAATGGGAGCAGCAGGTCTGTGGGTGAACTCGCTCAGTGTTTCTTACCACAGTTCCCTCTTAGGAAGGACCTTTGACTCTAATACCACCTAAGCGAAAACCTCCGGGCACACTTTGCATTAAGCTCCTTGAGAATTAAAGGGCTTTTCTAACTAAAGGAAGCACAGTTTTCACCTCCTGTGTCAACCTTTATAATTTTTTAATGAAAAGGAAATTGTTTCACACAGCTTATATTTAACATCCATTTGCTCCCCAAAAGCCGTCACATCATCCTCTCAAGAATTCACTCCGCCGTATTTTCACTGTTCATCAGACTTTCAATCCCTTCAACCTGCTTCTTATTCTTCCCTCTCACAAAATCTTAGAATGAGCATAAAAACACAACTTTTTAATAAAACTTCAAAAATGCTGAACACTGCAGCAATGTTTCCCCAGGTCATTCTTCTATTCGAATTTAGTGAGATTTAGAACAACAAATGAGCCAGATTTCTCTACCTAAATAATTGCTTGTGAAACAATCAACGTGAAAATGATCACCGTTAGTTTTCAGCTGTAACACTTCCGTGTAGGAACACAATAGTTCACATCTGCCAAAACTGTCTCAGAAAGGCCACCTGAAGATAAAGAACCTTATGAGAGCTCAATAAGTCAGTGATTTTTTAAGCAATCATCTTTCCAGAGGCACAGCCTACTTCTTTGTGAAAAACAGTAGGATAGTTTCTCAAGAAAGAAGTCATTTAAAGATAAAATAAATTCAAAGTGGTTGTTCTCCTGTGTAAACTGTTAACAGAATCTTAAAAGAGGGGTCAAAAAGCCCTTTTATTTTCAAAGCATGTCATAACCGTCACTTAAAATGTACTTTTGCTTGTAGCAAATATCCACTAGTTTAAAGCTTAACCAACAAAAATTTGAATTATTTGAAGACGACATTAATAACTTAGATTGCACCAAAATGTTGGATACTGTTAAAAATTACGCATAAATTTCCCGAACAAAGCTAAGCAGAAAGGTGGGGTGTGTTATAAAATGCATTTATTTTTTATTAGAGTTCAGGAGAAATAACCCTTTTTTTTTTCCAATACAATAAACACAACCCACCTTCTTCAACGTAAGAGACACACTATTTTGTAAGTAAGTTCAGGAAAAAAACAAGGAATTAAATTCAATATGTAAAGATAATATGAATGAACCTTAAACTCGCTTCATATTCCTGAAATGAACACATCCAGAAGGAAGGCAGAAAGAGAGCAGAGAAGAGAAGCAGACATCTGGGAACCAAAATTCTGATTTTGTCTGAGCTAAGAAAAAGCACTGTGGGCAATGAGCATATTAGCCCTCCCACATCTAGCACCAAGAGGCACAAACCTGGACTCTGAAAAATCACGACGCTACCCATGTGTGGTAATATTAACTATACAGAAGCTAAGTACACATTATAATTTTTTTTAAAAGTATATTATTTCAAATGACAGGTTTGGAAATAAAAATGGAGAAAAGCTGAAAAAAATGCATTGCTGGCTTCACAGTAACAACTGACATTGTCAGAAGATCCCAAAGTGTTTCATCAGCTATATATAGAGACAGCTTACTCTGTCCCTGAAATTCAGCCATGGATGAAGTGTAGCAA